TTACAAGATTTCACCTTGATTCTCCCATCTTTTAATTTCCATAGAATAGTCCTGTCTGCTCTCACTTTCAATAGAGAACAAACCTATCCCTCTTGCATGTTTCAGTCTTTTAGAACTGTATCATCTCTCTCCTCAGTCTTTTCTTCTGCTGTCTAAACACGTCGAGCTCCTTTCAGCCATTCCTCACAGGGCTTGGCTTCCAGGCACTACCTAATTAATGCTTAGATTACAATTCAGTTACCTGTAAGATTTATACTTCTGAGTTTTGTCCTGCATTTCAAAGCTTACAAAATATACTGAAATGTGTATTTTAGAAAGGTAAACTTGAGAGAAGTACATTGAAGATATCCATGCTTTGTGAATGTATCTTTCCTCCAGAATAATAATGAATTTTCATGAAATTTTAAAAAGAGATTCACAGATGAATATAGACAGGGTACATTTATCAATGAACATATACAAACCTGGCACATTATGGAACCTATCCTCTCCTTCCTCTCCCCCCACCATACCCCCCCCAACCATATCCCAATTTAAATTCTACATCAGTCCAACTACTCCATGCACCTGATGAAATGAGCTGCAACTCATGCTGATGCCTGTTAATAAAATTTGTTAGTTGGAAAAAGTGCTACCAGAAACCTGATTTTTGGAATTGAAACGATCCATCCCCTGCTTCTAAGATACTCAAACATTGTACTGAATTTTAGAATAAATAGGACTCTGAATGGATATTTACTATTCTACCCACTAGAATTTTTGGAAGCAAGTAGGCTTCTCCTGTTGTAAATATTTTGAATGTTTGCCATTACTGGAAGAACAAGTTTTTTTACTTGTGTAACATTTGCTGACTTTATATAGTTTAATTTTCTCATGATCATTTCATCCCACACTCAAGAAAGCCAGCTGTCATTTAGTTCCATTTTTGGCATCTTCTTTTATGACAACCCTGCACCTACCCACATATACCTTTCTTGTGCATGTGCCTAAGATGATATGAACATGCTGTAGTTAAAATGTGATTAATTCCCAACTTACTTTCTATTGGGAAAAATAAACCCTGACACTTGCATTAAGTTCCTCTATTTTCATCTGTTACTGAAGCTCTACACCAGTGTTTTTCAAACTTGGCAACTTTAACATGTCTGGACTTCAACTCCCAGAATTCTCCAACCAATTAATAACAAAATCAGATGTTGGAGGTAGACTTTTATTTTAATTTTGCTCTTCTAGAGTTGTTCTTTAGTTATGTTCTTTATTTATTTATTTGATTTGTATGGCTTGCAGTGAGTTTAAAAATCTAAGTTGTTAAATTGATTAATTATGTGCCACCAAGTCATTATCAACTCTTAGTGACCACATAGATAGATTTTTCCATGAAAAACATTAAAGTGCACATTTAAATTAATACTTAAATTGATTAACAAAAGCCTGGTGGAAGAGAGACATCTTTACAGACACTGAGAAAGTGTCGGCCAAACACATCTCCTGTATGGCTAATATTTTTAGGCTTTCCTTAAATCTTTTTCTTTTTTCTCTTTCTTTTTTAGAAGAGAAATTTTGTTTTCACTGAACAGAGATGCTTGTTAGGTGGCAATAAGGGCACATTCTTAAGTAGTATAGTGTAGGTATGGTAGGATGTATCTAGGATTTAATAAAACAGCTGGAAAGATTGAAGACATTTCACTTAGATTTATTTGTAAAATCATACTTGCCACCAGAAAACAAGCCTTCATATTATGCTGTCATTCTTGGAAATACTATTATTCTCTCCTAAGTATATAAATCGTATGGTCCTAGGTAGAATGAGGTCAATTTTATTTATTTGCTAAATTTATATCCTGCCTTTCCTCCAGGAGCATTCATCACACTCCCTTCTCCAGTATTTCTTTGTGATGTAGGCTAGGCTGAGAGAGAGAGTGATTGGCCCAGAGTTACTCAGTGAGCTTATATGACTGAGGATGGACTTGAATCTGGGTCTCTGCAGTCTTAGTCCAGCTTCTTAACCACTATACCTCACTGGCTCATTTACAAAATCAAATCTAAAAGAAAAGTCAGAGTTTCACTCCCCACTGCATTGTGTTCTCAGTGCATAATTTTCTTGGAACACGTATAATAGTTAACCTGAAAGTACATGGACTTATCCTTGTTTAGGAGTGACAATTTAAATCACTGGTCTTTAGCTGGCGCAGTAATATTAGATGGTTTTGTGCCCAGAAGTACCACCAATTAAATTATTTTGTTTATGCTTTCTCTCTTGGGGAGGGAAGGGAAAAAGAGCATATTTAGCTACCTGTTTCACGTGGACTTAAGATGATTTTAAGTGTCTGAACACTGTTCCATTAGATCAGTGTTTCTCAATCTTGGTAACTTTAAGATGTGTGGACTTCAACTCCCAGAATTCCCCAGCCAACATGCTGGGGAATGTTAAAGTCCACACAACATAAAGTTGTCAAGGTTGAGAAACACTGCATTAGATAGGTATTGCCTATATAAATAGAGGAATCCTCAACTTACAACCACAATTGGAACCGGAATTTCCATCACTAAGTGATGTGGTCGTAAAGTGAGATGTCATGTGACTGTATCACTCAGCAATGGGAATCCTGGCACTCCACATTGCTGTCATTAAGCAAATTTCACCAGACGTTAGCCAAGGACCTGACCAACCCCAATCCAAGCCATTCCAGGCTTGGTCCCTCCCAGCCTTGAGCCTCAGGTAAGGGACTGCCTCCAACTCCCCCTCGCCTATCTTCCCCGCATCTCTGCCTTTTTGATCACATGACCGTGGGGATGCTGCAATGGTTGTAAGTGCGAGGACCAGTTGTAAGACACTTTTTCAGCACTGTCAGTTGTTAAACAAGTGGTCGTAAGCTGAGTAGTTATTAAACGAATGTTCATAAGTCAAGGACTACCTGTAGTACATTGAACAATACATAAAACTTGTTTAGATATACAGTTCAATTCTATATTAAATATTTGCCACAGACATACATTATGCATCTGTTGGAGCCTGGCTGTATAACTCCTAGCTCAAAAATAAAAGTTTTACAGCTCTTACAGAAAGTATTTAAGCTTGACTCCAATCCACCTATAGTGAGCATCCAGTAAAAAGGCTCTTTTATATAACCATGTTATATGAATTTATTGCATGGATATACTGATGAGAAGGCAGTTTTTAATAAATCATAACTGTTGTGATAGCATAAAGAAGAAGAGATTTATGAGGTATGAAGGGTATAAGATATATGGTAGCTTTCCCCAAACTTGGTGTCTGACTTTCATCACATTTTATTCAGTGGCAATGTTAATTGAAGGATTCTCCAAGTTCTGCCCAGAATGGAAAGGATGGGTATGATACCATCAGAGTCAGCACAAGTATGCCTGGAAAAGTCAGGGAAGCTGCTGGAGCACCAATATGCATGGCATCTGCAGGGGAAGCAAGTGATGTGACCCAAGTCATGATGTCATTGCGGTCTAATGGATGCCTATATTGATATGATATATTCCCTAAGACCAGCCCACCCAGAAATCTGGAACAGATTAGTTTGTATTCTTTTCTCTTTTTCCCCCAAATATTTTCTTCTTTTCCTTCTGTGAGACATGTTGACATTGTTGATGGATATCAGCAGAGAGAGGATATGAGCAATAAAACAGCTAAGTCTTCAGATATCATTATTTCTCACTAAATTAATTTAAGATGTTTCAGCTGTAAACACTGAATCCAGAGCACCATCAGCTGCAGACTCAGCTGGCCCTTTGGTCACTCTTTTCTTCATTATCTCCAAATGTAATCTTCCTGGAGATAAGTCTTGTTTTCTATTTTTATGAAAGCTACACATAAGTCATCAATCACCAAATGTATTTCATCTTGCTTACCATAAATTAAGTTACACTCCTTACACTGTATAAGGATTTGTCAGGTGTTCCTAAAATAAAAAGACAAATGAATCAGCAGCTTGGTAGCATAATCTATTTGCAGATGAAAAATTGGCATTTTGTAAACCGTAGCATACTCTGGAGAAAGAACTTTGATATCTGTATGAAAAGGAAGGAGTTTGACCTTCTTTAATTGGAGGATGGATTACATTTTATAAGAAGGTTTCATGAAGTTGTTCCAATTGCCCTAGGAACTGCAGTATGTTTGAACTGATCCTGCAAAAAATACAGGTAGTCCTCGTTTAGCAACTGCCTTGTTTAGTGACAGTTCGCAGTTACAAAGGTGATGAAAAAGTAACTTTATGACCAATCCTTACATTTACGACCTTTGCAGGTCTGAAGAAGCCAAGGAAAGCTGAAGTAAGTACATAAGCACAGTTGTAGTTTCACTTAATGACTGCTTTGCTTAACATCCAAGTTGTTGGTCCCAATTGTGGTTGCTAAACAAGGGCTACCTGTAAATAATATCTACAGTATCATTATTGATTTTAATGATCAGTATCATTAAATAATAGTGATCAGTATCATTTGTACTATATTTTTGAACAGTCAAGCCAGACAAGTAGATTGGATACAGACTGCAAGTTCTAAATGTTGTAATTAACTCCATAGAAAGTTGCCAAAGTCATTTAATGTGAGACATTGTAGATTATCCTTCTGACTTTAGATTTTTCGGGTTCCTCTGTGGGGATACCTAGCCATCCATACAAGTAGTTTTTAAGTGAATGAGCAGCATCGTGATGCCACAATCAGTGATGGACCTACTCAAACTATTGCAGTCCTAATCTCTGTTTGATCATTCAAGTTTCTCATCACCAGCTCTGGACATTACAAGAACAAGGAATGTGTGCATGTGTGTACACATACACACACAGATATACAGAGAAACATGCAAATAACAAAGATTACATAGACAGGACTGAAACAATATAAGGGCAGTTTCTGAAGACTTTGTTTAGATTCTTTCCTGTGTATATCTCAAAGATATTTAATGGATTTTTCTTGGAACTAACAGAGATCATAATATGTGAAGATATCTAACTCTGCAAATCTTTATGTAGACTGAAGAGGACACTGTAGCCTTTCTGGATCACAGTGACAGTGGTGAGGAATTTGATCCAAGTACGCTTCCAGACCCAGATGGATACGGAGATGATGAACAAGAGATTCTTCCAAAAAGCCACAGGTATTTGTTGCACTGACATTTTAATTTGCTTCCCCCCCCTTCTCTTCTCTTTTTTTCCCTTCTTACCAGATTCTAAACATGTTAAAGACAATCAAACAGTTACCTTTATTCTGCTGCAGTTAGATCAGCCAATTAGTTTAGATTATTCAACTATGGACAGGACAACGCAGAATAGCCCTGGCTGCTAATTTAGATCTGTGGCTTTATTATATGGAGTCCTTGGGGTTCTCTGAGCTTGGCTGTTTTCTTGCAAACATTTCATTACCCGGCTAGGTAACATCTTCAGTGCTAGAATGGAATGGGGTTTGCTCTCTGTTTATATCCAGTGGCATGCCCTGCCAGTGTTGCTGGGGGTGTGGGTTTTGTTTTGTTTTTCCTTCTGGTAGTTCCTTCCTCCTCACCAGCAATCACCACCCAGATAAGCAGAGATTAACACCAAGATTATCACCAGACATACAATCAGCAGTAAACAATCCCCTAATCAAGGAACTACAGCTCACAGTTCAACCCTGAGCTACTACACATATTTGCTTCTATTGGCTTTATTATGTAGCAGGTATAGACACAAATATCACAGATATTAGTGGTAAGAGGGATTTTGCACATAAAGCTGTATGTACTTTGGCTTCCCCATGATTGTGGGTTATTGGACACAAAGGAGCATTGGAGAAATTGCCAGAGCCTCCAGGGATCTTTCACCTCATTGTCTGGCCTCTCCTTCCCACTTCAAGAGGATCTGAATGATTCAGAGGCTGGCAGTGCTGCCACTGCTAGCTGAGACCATGACCGGCCATAGAGCAGCAGTGCAGGAGAAGGATATAGCCACAGCAGGATACTTTCTTCTTCCTTCTAGATCATTCTTCTGCTGTGACTCATATTGGGGCCCCAGGAAGCATGTGACAAGGGAAATCCCAGGACTTCCTGTGTAGATTTAAAAAAAGGCATGATAGTGGGCATAATTGAAGTCCCGCCCCTTGTTGCATGTGCAACACTCATAAAAAGGAGCAAGATTTGGTCAAATGGTCATAGTTTCCATCTTGACTTTTTTGCTGCTCCTGTGGACGCTCTCAGATCTGTCCCTGTGCCTTACATAGTGGCCCAAGGTGGCCACCTCCCCTGCTTTCACCATTTGTACATTCTTGCTTTTAATATAGAGAAGTAAGATGCATGCATTTTTTTTTAAAAAAATACTTATTTAGTTTATACATACACAGTTAACAAGATAATATTTAATCTTAATGGGAAAAAAATACAAACACAAACTAAGAAAAACAAGATTTCCCCCCCCTTAGCACATAGGTAATAAAATGAAGAAAGTACATCTTTGTACTAATGATGTTGGGAAAAATTTGATGTGTTTGTCTTGGTTGTAGAAAGCTTTAGAAAAAGTCTTTTCAACCATGGGTGGCATTTTTTCCCTATCTCATCCCTTAAAGGATGGAAGATGTGTATAATCCACTATTTTATATCTGCTATTTAACAAATCACCTTTAAGCTGCATCCTTCCACAAGCTTAGTGAAATGAATTTTTCATGTATCTAGTATCATTTATTATACTCCTTGTTTAAGGCAATCATAATGTTAAATAACTAAGAAGGTGGGGAGAGGCACAGGGGACAGTAGCAGCAGAACTGAATATTCATCAGGCAAGTCAAATTGAATTTTTAATATCTCTAATTCTTCAACACTGTTGAAAAGGAATGTTGATTTGGAACAAAGATCTGATCAGTTTTTTCATTACCTTCAATTAATCTTTTACATACTTGGCTGTTCATCTTAGTTCTCACTTCTAAATGGAATATGCATTTCAGCTGTTTCAAGGTGTCAGTTTTTTCAGGCTGAATTCCTAACCATAACTTTTGCTAAATAGATATTTTTAATTACAGGCAGTAATTGAATTCATCATTTAATGGATATTTGGGGGAAACATTGTGATTTCAAGGCTGATGCTAACAATTTGACTGATGAAATTGTTTGAAAATGCCTTCAGCCTCTCGTATAAGATGAGCTGTTTTGATATTCGAAGGCTCATACAGCCTTGCAAGCGTTTTATCCTCATTTTGTAGTTAACTGTGGTGTGATAGTTAAAGAGAGAAAAATTAGGAGAGGATTTTATCCATACATCCATACATCTGCCCATCTTGCAGTGGGACTGTGGGTGGCTAACATGTCTTTAAAAGCACTGGACAAAAACTAAAGATGCATCATGTCCAAGGCTACTCACACATCCACACAGTTAAACTCTTTAAAATGGTCTCACCTAACACCTGAGAGAAAAACGAGGTCTTCAGCACTTTGCAAGAAATTGGCAGAGTCAGGGCCATCCAGATCTTGAGGGATATATTGTTTTACAGGGCAGATGCAGCAATGTAGAAGGTATATTTCCTGGGTTCTAAGGTGACATTATTTAATAGAAGTGGCCTGGAACATGCCCACCCTGTTGCATCTTGGAGAGAGAGAGTCTCACAAACAATCCATGGAGGGCTTTGTAGGTGACAACCAGCACCTTGAATTGCATCTGAAAGCTTACTGGAAGCCAGTGCAGTTGATAAAGTAGTGGCATTGCATGGATGTACCAAGGTCCACTCGCAACTAACTGCCCATGCCACTGTATTCTGGATCAGTTACAGCTTCTGAGAACTTTTCAGTGCAGCCCTATTCAAAACTAATTGTGGCAGACCCTCTAATCCACCACCCCCACTCTCCCACCCCAGCCTCCAGACACTGAAGAAAAATTTGATAGCATCACTTGGTCATCCAGGGATAGAGATATATAACTGGGTATTATCAGTGTATTAATGATATCTAACCCCATGACAACAAATAAATTTGCCCAGTGTCAGGCCTAGCCCAAAGAACTCCTGGAGACCATGCAGGTTCAATCAGCAAGGTT